GAATCTTCGTAAAAGAAAATTAATTATGCGTTTTTTTTAAAGATAATTACTGCTTAATCGATTATTAAAACAATTTTAAACTAAATATTTAAGTAATTTTTAATCATCGTACGTGAAACGTTAATGTATTCACCATGGAAACCTTTTAAATATCTTTTTTTTTCTTTCCAGTTATGACAACTGGATTATGGATTTATATACTAATCGATTATAGTAAACCAAAACTATACATAGTTTAAAATATATTCGGACACAGCCTTGAAATTAGAACAGTACTCAGCTTAATTTTTTATAGTAAATTTAAGTTAATTACTCGTACAAAAGGCGAGACAATCCCGCATCTTCTTCACTAATTTCATTTAGAGAGAGAGAAAGATTAGAGCGAGGACGATTAATAATTACAAAACTACATCCACCCTTCGATTTAGCATCATCATTAAACGCTAAATTAAAGTACCTTAGATAAGTTTACATAGATGCAATGTGTTTATTTGTAAAGTAGGTCCTCACGAAGGCGTTATTATTAAATGGTATAATATATCTCATTTGAATTAGTTTTAAATACAGCAAAACCTGTTCAAAACGGAAACCTGCTAGTCCAGTTTACACAGGTTTTGCTGTGTACGAAAGCTTTGGAATATATTTCTTCTATTTACATAGCTAGAAGGACCTGTTTCATTTATATAATTCTTAATTGATGGAACGATCAGGGCCCATGTTTTTGAAAAGGAGGGACTTATATACAAAAGGGAGAGTTATTTCGTACGTTTTTTTCTCTATACAGTTTAAAATTCCGCACTAAATTCCTTATAATTACTCTCCAGGACCAGGAGGAGATCCAACTCCTCCGCTCGAACCCAGTAAGAGTAATGAAAGAAACTGAACCCACCTTTTCATAAATACTGTTAATTTTTCCTTTCTGTATCATTTCCAGTATTCCCCTTCGAAAAACTTTCTAAAAATTCGATATTTTATAACAACTTCATCCATAGAAAACGTTGATGTATCATAGTTTATAGAGTTAAAGCAGCACATGGAAACAGAAACACATTCACACACATGCATAAACAGGATCTAATCTGTTCGAGANATCGAGGGCCTTTCTGTACTTTAAAATAAAACAAATCAATGCATTTTTATATAGAAACACGCATGAAATTTATTATTTTAAACATATTAATTTACGTGTTCTAGAATAGTTCAAAAGTAAAATCGATTCAAATTTAAATAATTTAACGTCGTTAATATTTTTAGCATACGTATTTGCAATTTATTTCTGTAATAATGTGCAATATATCAAGAGTTCTTTCACATTATAATTGAAAAAAATTGCAGCTTTTTATACTCGAAATTTATATTTTTCTCCGAAAATATTATCTTATAACACTAAGAAATGTGACTGAACTCAATAAAAATAGATAATAGATGAACTGATAACAAATTTAAATTATAATTGTAACAAATATTTTAATGCATTTAATAATAATATTTAAAAATATATTATACATTTTGAAGTACCCGAAAAAATGTTAAAAACATGGAAAATTATATATTAAAGACCAGAAACTAAGTAATTTTATTTAATAGAAGAATGTTATGTTTTTATGAGCGCTAAATATATTTTTCATGAGACTGTTCATCAGTGCGGTGAAACGCAACGGTTACTATAGTAATTTATAGTAACCTATAGTAACTAGACCTTGGCACTACTATCCTAGAAATATTCTAGTTATAGTTACTATAGGTTACTATAAATTACTATAGTAATTTATAGTAACCTATAGTAACTAGACCTTGGCACTACTATCCTAGAAATATTCTAGGTATAAAGTCACATACAATGCATATTTTCCACGTTTCTTATCTAGAATTATCATCATCTTTCCTTTAGGAATTCCTTTTTGAGACATGAAAGAATATTTTAAAAAATTCTGTTATGAAACTAACGTGTAGCCTACACATTAAAAATACAAACAGTGGCCGAGTGGATAAAACCACATAATACTGGTTGAGGGTTCGGGCCTCACCAACGAGCAGGCCCACCAGTAGCAGAGAGGATGAAACTACAGAACAGTGAACACTGGTCGTGGGTTATAGCATCGCGCCAGCGGGCTAGCCACATATTTCCTTCACGTTAGAAACACCTAAATAGGGACCAGTTTCTCATAGAAAGGAGGCATCCCATCTTGGCAGATCGCTCACGTAAATAAGTAAACCAACCAATAAGCAGGTCACGCAGAGTTTTCCGGTTTTCTTCACTTGTCTAACACCTGTATAGGGGAGGATTTCTCATAAAAACTCCTCCCGGGAGGCACCTCCTCCTTGTCAAATCGTTCAAGTGTTGCATTGTCTTATTCCATCCATCATATCTTATCCAAGTAAAAGAGGAGACATCCGATTCCTTCTTTCGCCGAGCTCCAAGTATCTTTACGTAACACTGATAACAAATGATCTCCCTATATTAAGGTTAGTTTAATAATTTAAATCTAAATTATTTTGAGAAAAAGATCGGCCGGAGAGGAACTCGAACCCGCAACTAATTAATTGATTTACTCCAGCATGAGCCGTGGGCGCTAAAGTAGTCCCTGAGTAACCATTACGTTGCATTTAAATTAATTTAAGCAAGAGTTTCGGGTTCAGATCCCACTCCGGGCCGAATTATTCTTCCGCAATATTCTAATTTAAATTAAAAATGCTAATTTATTCCTAATTATTAAATCTACCATGAGATGGCGGCATAACCGCCTATTTTTAGCCAAATTACTTTATATCTAATTATTAAACTAGCCTTAATATAGCCTAGTAGATCGTTTTGCATTAATTAATAATCGGCCTATAGCATTTTTTGTTATATAATTTTCATATTTATATTTGTAATTTTTACGTAGGTAAATTTGTATTTTCTCTCTTTATTGTTAATATTTTTTTAAAAATCAAAATTAACTAGTCGTCTCATGATTTCTATTTAAAATTGATATCATAGAATGTTTTAATATATATTTATATAATTTATCATCACAAAGGAAAAAAAATATGATTTTCAAAATTATATAACTTAACCCCGACCGACAGACCGCCAGGCACAGAAGTTCAGCCCCCCTCCTCAATTGTTATCAGGATGGACGAATGTTTCACTCGGTTTATCGACCGGATTAATTTTAATTCGCATAAATAAATATATTATACAAGAATACAAGTTTAATTATATAAAAAGGTATCTTTAAGGGAGAAAATTTGAAAATATTTATAAATATTTCAATTATTTTAATCTTGTTCCTACTAAAGGCAAACTTTGTTTACATCACTCATCCTTCCCTAAACTGGAATTTTATCCAGTGCAAAAGTAATTGTGAATTATTCTCAAGAAGAACCTTGTACATTTTCCTGTACACAACACACACATCAGAGAATTTCCTGGTTTTTTTTGACATTTTGAATTCAGGAGGAGATTTGCAAAAGACCCGAAAGGTCAAACTTCACACGATTCCAATACTTTTCTTTGTTATGTATACATAAAAATCTAGAAAGTAAAAACAGAACATTGTAATAATTGGATATCTTCCATATCCAATTACCACAATGGGTAGAGCACGGTGAAGTATAGTTTATTGTATTAACTATTGTACAAGTTCGAATTAAAGGCAAAAGAAATTAGAAAAAAATATTTTCAGAATGTTCTTATAAGATGTAAATTTATTTACTCTTTATAAAAAATAATTGTGTCAGGTAAATGGTCTCATTTGCTGAAATGTCCTTCACGTTTAATAACTTCGTACTGAATGACCTCCACAGCGGTATTCACAAGAAGGGCCGTATTAACGCATGGGACTGATGGACACTCGCCCATGGGCCCCATAAGAATCTGTGTATATTAACTGTATACGAACATTCGGTCTGGATCGGAAGTCGCATGATTTTTTAAATTAAAATATGATTAAAAATTGCAGCACGGCATTGTGACCTGACCATGAGTTAATTGTTATATATACGACTAGTTTTATATAAAATACGTAATTTAACAATTATAAAATTTATTAAACGATTTAAACATTGTATTAAAACAATTACANTTTTAATCTTGTTCCTACTAAAGGCAAACTTTGTTTACATCACTCATCCTTCCCTAAACTGGAATTTTATCCAGTGCAAAAGTAATTGTGAATTATTCTCAAGAAGAACCTTGTACATTTTCCTGTACACAACACACACATCAGAGAATTTCCTGTTTTTTTTTTTGACATTTTGAATTCAGGAGGAGATTTGCAAAAGACCCAAAAGGTCAAACTTCACACGATTCCAATACTTTTCTTTGTTATGTATACATAAAAATCTAGAAAGTAAAAACAGAACATTGTGGTAATTAGATATGGAAGATATCCAATTACCACAATGGGTAGAGCACGGTGAAGTATAGTTTATTGCATTAACTATTGTACAAGTTCGAATTAAAGGCAAAAGAAATTAGAAAAAAATATTTTCAGAATGTTCTTATAAGATGTAAATTTATTTACTCTTTATAAAAAATAATTGTGTCAGGTAAATGGTCTCATTTGCTGAAATGTCCTTCACGTTTAATAACTTCGTACTGAATGACCTCCACAGCGGTATTCACAAGAAGGGCCGTATTAACGCATGGGACTGATGGACACTCGCCCATGGGCCCCATAAGAATCTGTGTATATTAACTGTATACGAACATTCGGTCTGGATCGGAAGTCGCATGATTTTTTAAATTAAAATATGATTAAAAATTGCAGCACGGCATTGTGACCTGACCATGAGTTAATTGTTATATATACGACTAGTTTTATATAAAATACGTAATTTAACAATTATAAAATTTATTAAACGATTTAAACATTGTATTAAAACAATTACAAAAAAATTTGTAAATTATATAAAATTAAAAGTAAATAATTTGTTATATTGAAGGGATCCTTCATTTTTACAATTTATATTTTAAATGAAATTTTACTATAATACCTTAATATACAAAGTAAACGAATTAGAAAGTACTGTACAATAAAATCTCGATATATCGTCTCTCTAAATAACGCCACCTTCGTAAAGCGCAAGCCTTCTGAACGGATAAATGCTGATGAATCGCCTGTAATTAGTATTAAATCGAGTATGGCACTATCATAAAGCTGAAACAATGAGACCTTGTACAATGATTTCGGGTTCGAAAATCATATGATTAGATAAAGTTGTTAACAATGCAAAATCATGCATTTAATAATTCACAGATAATGAAGTCTTCTCCATTTTATATTCACAGAGAAGATCGATTCGCAAGTAACTGGTGCTTTATGGTGTGGCGCTATTCAGGGGAATACTATATCGAGGTATGATCTTTTATGATTTCTTATGACGTTCCACAATTGAAAGAATTAAAGTTGAAGGTGAATTAAATTTAATTCAAAAAATTACTTGGCTTGATACAGGTAGCTGTGGTTGAATTCTCTAGAAAAATAGTGTGAAATTCTAGTTAATTCTGATTGAATTCTCTAGAAGAGTGTATTAGAATATTCAGTTAATTCCGACTGAATACTATAGAAGAATAGTTGAAATATCTATAGGTAATTATGGCTAAATTTCTCTTCTATAAAAGATTAATGCGTTGAGTTAGTAAAATATATATAAAAACACATTTTGATAAATAAGTTTCAGCACTCAGAACTATGTAATGCAAAATGAGTCATGCCATTTTCTCTCAGCAATGGTTGTATCTCCGATTTGTTGTTTACGAATTCATTTTTTAATTTATTCTCCGCAATAAAGCGTTTTCTGCAAGTATTTTCTGCAAGAAAAGTAGATATTTTATATTTTAATGTAATTAATAAATAAAAATATGAGTAAATCATACCTCTGTGTATTAGTTTAATTTCTAATAGGATCATTAAAACCATTGCTACACCTATACTTCCAACTCCAATAGACATTATGTGACGATAAAACCAGTCGCATTTATCACACATTATACTAAAATAAAAATTAGAGAAAATTGTAGAATATTAAACTAAGTTTCACAGAAGGAAAATACAGGATGATCATAATTAAATAATAGATATTCGGAGCACCCTGCAGAAAGAACTGTTGGGCAAATCTTGATCATATTTGTGAAATGTAGTGTCCCGAGTAAGGATGCCCGTACATTGGGGCACTTGGAGCGCGTGCCCTTTTCGTCTGTATTGCCCTTTTTCCTAATACCCAAGGAAACCCAAATTCTATTATCAACAAACAATAAAAAATTTAGACTTCTAGCCTATTCTGGAAGTGTAAAAAAAACTATAATTGTCGATTGTCCCAAAACTCGAGCAACTGGTTGCAATCGAAGCCATGTTGGCTCCAATTGCAACCAGTACCACCTTGTAGGAGCGCTGATTCGACGTTGAATCATAGTTTAAAGCCTCTTGCATAATGTATGATGCCTTTTTTTTTGTAGCTTGTGCCTCCTTTTACAGTATTTAGTGTGCGGGCGTTGCTGATCGTGAGTATACGGTTTCGATTTTTGGGGAAAAATTGAATAGAAAATTCAGCCGATGAGGCAAAATTTGGCGCCGATTTCCCTTTAATGTATTATTACGTACGTTTTCTAACAAATTGAAGATGTAAAAGGGGTCGCAAAGCAATCTTCACCATCCTGGACAGTTGAACAATCATGGTTCTCAATTTGCATGATCGTGCATCAATTCCACATTCCACATATGCAATTGAAATAAAATTACTGCGCTTCGCAATATGCACGCTAAGAAAACAGCAACGCCAAATTTCATCCTGACGGCCTAATTTTCAACTAAAATTATTTTTTCGAAAATCGAAATTGCATACTCGGGACATTATGTATATCAAATCTGGTCGCAATTTACCTAATAATTCTTTCTACACAGAGCTCTTTAATTAAGATTCGAATAAAGTTCCAGGCCTTCCTCCCTGGTTCAATGAAATTAGCTTATGGAATATTATGTTTAATCACAATACTAATGATCCAATTATTGTATTTATATTTTATTATATTTAATTATATAATAAATAAGCGTACACGTAATAAAAAAGTGGACTTACTCGTGTAAATATTGTATAATTAATATACCAATTCCGTTTGCTAACTTGTCAAAGAAACTTATCACTCCGTACACGAAAGTACCAATATCCTTTAAAGGAAATGAATTATGCATGAAAGTTACTTACTTCCAATGTAATTAGGAAAAACATAATTATGATAATTTCGTAATTACAGTATCGAGTCCAATAAAATCCGGTATTAAAGCCAAACTGGTGACAACTAATATACTGGAGCCAATTCCTAGAAGAATAGCTACCACGTATATATACTGTGAGCAGAAAGATGGGCCTTCTCCGAAATATATCCAAGTGCACCCTCCTGTACCAATCACTGCACCAAATATTAATGATAACTACAATTTAAATAAATAAAATTCAATATTTATTCAAGGAAATAAAATATTTTAAAACTTTTTCTCACCTTCTTTCCGCAGAACTTCATAAGATAACGCGTTATGAATGATGATGCAAACCCAGCAACATGGATTAGGAGTGGTATTTTAGCTATAAAATCCTAATTTAAATAAAAATTCAACAAGTAAGATATTGCTGTTAAGATATAAATAAATAACCCGAAAGCATAAATTATTTAAGATTTATTTCGATAATTTCTGGTCAGGTAAACGGAACCGACGAATAAATTGAAAGTATGAAGGAGCAATAAAATGTGACAGTAAAAAAAAAAGATCATTAAAGTAAGTAAAACTTAATGAAAGTTGTAAACTGGATCAGATTTTGTTTCGATGTGGCTTTAAGCCATAACATATAAGAAGCTTTTGGCTGTCAAATAATAATAATTTAAAGAGCAAGATTACATTTAGGAATGTAATGGATTGGATAGAAATGGCAACAACAATACATCTTCAAGATGGAGATGCCTCTCTAGAGAACTTTCTATGAGAAAGAGGGCCCTTTTCAAGTGTTAGACGAGTGAAGAAAACCCGGAAAACTCGACGACCAGGCACAAACCCGTGATTAATTTTATGTTCAATGTTTATCTACCGATCAGTGGGCTCAAGAATGCTGTAAAATAAACAATATACTAACCTGAGTTGCTCCTAAAGATTCTTGTAAATAAAGAGGGATGAAAACTAAGTTAAAGTTTTGAAATAATCGCGCTGTGGTATATATAACAGCTATCTGCGGGAGAGAAAACGTTGACATTAGGCCTTCATATTTTTGCAAATATAAAAGAAATTTCAATAGAAACATACTTTATAAAATTCTTTTTCCTTGAATATTTTCCGATTATTTAATGTTCGACGTTGAACAATCGAGGTGGTAGAAGATTGAACGGGTGTTACTTCCTTCACTCCCAAGTAGAATATAACGCATGTCGAAAATCCAATACAGATTATCGTCATAACAATAATCTTTAAATAAGTGATTTAATGTTAATTAACGAACGATAAATTATAATTTAATTTTTTACAAATTTTACCATAAATTTGGTCTTATCATCTTCAGCAATAGACAGAGCATCGGTAGGGCCATTGACGGTAGTAACAAAAATGATCCACGCGATTGTAAAAACACTAAAATCGGCAACCGCATCGAATGCATTCCTAAAAAATGTAATTGAAATCATAAATTTTTTATCATAAAGTAGCATAATTTAATTGGAATTCTTGGCTTTACCTTATAACATTTAGAAAATCTCTCTCGGAAGAATCATCTGTGATGACCGGTATGAGTGCCAGATGAGAAACCTGAACGGCAGCCCAACCTGTTTGAAAGATTACCACTAGAGGAACCAGATAGACCACCATAGCCCATTGACTACTATTACTACATCCTGGACACTGGATGAATATAAATGGAAAGCTAAATAATACGCAAGAAACACCTAAAAAAAAAAATAGATAAAATCATTTAAGTCAAAGATTATAAATCAGGCTTACACTTTAAACCCCGATATAATAACCCCATCACGTGTGATACAACATTCAATTCGATTTATGAACTCGGGAAACGTTAACTTCTATTTTAGTTTTATAATCTTATTACAAAAATCATCTATAGAACAAAGTTTAATTATCTTAAGACTGTTTTTGCATGGCCAGATTAAAAAATTCCTAATGGCATTAGACTAGGCGATCGGTTTTAATTGCATTTTGTAACAGTAAAATTTTTTTAATGGTCTTTATGTTGAAGTATGTATGATCCACGTGTAACTAATTATACAACCCGTCTAATCTACTATTTTTTAAACGTCTGTATACTTGTACTATACACTACACTAACAAAATACTTATCTGGAAAACCTCGTATAATTAAAGTAATTAAACTCTTGCTTATTTCTTTTTTACTTGTATATTAATTACTCTCCTTAAACAGGTTTGTTTATAAGTAAGTCGAATGCTTGGTTAGTAATTTAAATTGCATAAGGAGAAAGTATTTTTATCACTTTATTGGACTATGTGTGAAGATATTTTCCATAAATAAAAATTTAAAAAAAAAATGTTGAAATGATCACCGAAAAGATAGTTAACGATACGATCAAATTAAAAAAGTGATCGCTCAATTGAAAAATGATCGATCGAAGCATTATAAACAGGTTAGTAAATAAGTCTAAAGGAATGTATCCACGAATAGAAAAAGTCATTTAAATCTATGTTCGCTCGAAAAGTGAGCGGATATCGAGATTTGGGACGGCTTAAAATAAATTTTGGTAGATTTCAGGTGTAAAAACGGTTACAATTCTACCAATTTCATCTTAAAACTAAAGATTTAAGTCATTAATATGGTCAAAATCGAGATTAAAATCATTTACACTTGACATCTTACATATATCGCAGAAGACGACATATGTTCATTTCAAGTCATAAAATGTTTATTTTCTATACAGATTTTTAGATTAGTTTTTCATCTATTTTTGATTTGTAATAATAAAATCAAATGAAATAATAGAGTATTAGAAACTATAAAAATTTAATTTTAATCGTACGTATTTATTTATATTTTAATATACACTAACCGAAAAGATATAATACTTTTCTTCTTCCATATTTTTTGCATATTCCTAAATGATGAGAACTGTCCGTCTCGTATCCTAGTAAGGGTGTTGCTATGGCATCTGTCACTTGACCAACTAACAGAACGAAACCGGAAACTCCAGTGTCGAAACACAAGACGAATTGCAGATAGACTAAGAGATAAGTGAACCACATAGATGCGGTCAAATCGTTTAGAAAATGTCCCACTCCGAACGATATTCGCGTGTTCCACGACAATCTCATGCTTGTTCTGAAACGAAATTAATTTTATGTAATTTAAGAATCAATTTCTTATTAAAATTTAACACGTAAATGACAGATCTATGTAATTATATAAATTCATATAAAGGTATAAATGGGTTAAGATACATACAGACGTACAGTACATGAATTATTTTGAATTAGCTGCGTGTGTTCGGTGTTGCTCGGGCTGTTGAAGGGATGAGGAATTGGTGAGGTTAGGTTGGAGAAGGAGGGATAAAAACAATGGGCTAAACAGTAACTAAAATGTACAGTACATTTATTGATCCGAATATTTACAAGAATGAAATTGCAAGACAAACTGCTAAAAGGAATGGGAATTAGAGATTGTTGGGGTGGGAATTCCCATTAGAGATTGTTGGGGTGGGAATTCCCATAGTATTTTTCTAGGTTATCGAAGAATATCCGTGCCATTGGTGCCGATACATTGAACGGTATAGAATCCTTTACCTAACAGACATACACATTTTGACTTTTATACAGTAAAAGTTTAAAAGTTGGAAACCCCTCTAACCTGGACACTTTGGATCCTCATCACAGGTGTCCGACTTAGTGAGGTTTTACTATACATATTTATATATTTTGCTAACAGATACGCCCGAGCAAAACAATAGTAAGGGCAACATTAAAATAAAAGCGGTCGGTACCGTATTATAACCGTTGACTATTTCACCCTATTATTATTTTATCCTACATGTTTATTACGAAATATCAATAGGAGAGGGAGAGTTTCGAGGTTACACTGCAATCTATATTTTCTGCATGTCCTAGGGAGTCACAATAAAAAAAATGGATGCAGATCTATCAAGGGGCCATTTAATTATTGAGTCACTAGTTTATGGGGAAAAGGGATTAGTTCGTATCTGCCAATTGCTGAAGATAGGAAAGAGGAGTTTTTTTATGACGTAAGATTGCACCTGTCGTTTATTTTTCTCTTCGGTTGTCATGTAATTTTGTCAGGAGATGGCTGAAATATTATTGTGGCACTCCTTTTAAATTACATATCGTAGGCTTATAACGAGTCTTTCATATCCCCATAAGAAGTTGTGTTTTCTGTCAGTCTGCAACGAAGCATGGCAAGTAAATTTTCTGAAAAATTCATACAACTTGTTATAATTCATCTTTAAATATTTAATAAATAAAATTTGTTTCTCAGCAATCGAGAAGCTGAAAATGGCAATTTCAATAAATGGTTCGACTCATTGTGGGAAGTGGATTTGGCCCAGCAACGATACAGGCGAGATGGTATTCGGGAAAAAGTATCATTTGCCACTGTGGATTTAAAATTATTATTTGCACCTTGTCTGCATCTTGCAGCGTGTACCTTGCATGCATTTTGCAGTCAAGATACACGCGCGTGCAGTTCATTACCATCTTGTAGCTGCCTCAATAAACAGATACAGCTGAAAACACACTGCTGGCCATTAAAATTGCTACACCATGAAGGCGGCACGCAACAAACACGAAATTTGCATAAAAGGTACATGCTGGATGCTCTGTACCTCAAAATTACCTGCCAATTTAATCACGTCTTCCTCCTATTATACTGTAGTGTACAATAAACATGATTATGGTATGGTATGTCTTTCCTTCCTGGTGTAGAGATTTTAATAACCAGCAGTGTAGCTAATAGTTTTAATTTCTGTCCTGTTGCATAATAAGGGAAGGTACCTTGATTTATGATGTCTGATGATAGCAGGGAGGGGATCAAAAAAGGCAAATTTCTGCTAACGTAATACTCGAACGTCGCGCAAAGAGTTTAGAAGTATATAGAAAAGACATTCTAGTATATAAAATTTTATTGTTTATTTCAATGCAGAAGATATAATTTCTGGAAATTGAAATGCAATTAAACAGGTAAAGAGTTTTTAAGAGCTATAAAATAAAAAAATGATTAATTAAAGCTACAAACCGAAATATCTTGATGTTATATTATATGATAAACCGGTTTTTCACGTCTCTCCAAGTTTGATAAATGTTTTCGTGTCTAACAGGAAAACATATCCTTTACTTTCAACGCTTACGTATCACGCGAATTCAAGGACATGGAACTAGGGTACACTTGCCTCATTCGTATCCCTTAAGAAAAAACCATCCATCATATTATCGAGATTAATAAACAAATTATTATTTTTTATTTTAAGTAACTTTTATTTTGGGAAATATTTTATTACTACCATAATCAATAAATCTTATAAACTTCTGAGAAATAAACAATTTAAAAAAAACACTAAAAAAGTACGATTTAGGACCATTCATCTGAAATCGTACTTTGGTTTGCAATGTTAAGAATCAAAATCTTAATCAATAATGTATTAATACGTGTGTAGTTTTACTCTTAACAAATTCGGTGGATGGTCTTCATTAATTATTGGCAGTTATCGCAGTGTAATCCGTTGTTTTTTATTGGTTCCTGTGCAAAGTACATGTACCCATATCTCTTCACATTGCGTGTATTTGATTATACTTTTTTTTTAAGTCTTCTTGGCATAATTTACAGTACCAACTGTTATTTTCATCTTCTTCTTGTTTCTTTTTTTTATTCTCATTTTGTGATATTTTAGTAGTTTTACTTTGCTTTACATCAAGATTCTTTGATACATTTTTCTTCTTGAATTCTTCTATTTTATTCTCGAGCTCTTCTTTATAAGGACTTTCTGTAAGAACAAGAGCGCCTGTAGTTCTTCTTTTTATTTGTTTTGAATTTCCAAGAATAGCACGTATTGGAAATATTATTTCAAGTGTCGCTCGAACTGTCTCTATATTAGAAATGTTTACTTTGATACCTAAAGGACACTCCTTCGCTTTCTCTTCTAGACATTGATCTTGCAGTTTTACCGAAGGGTGAATCGTTGGCACATCAGGAAGTTGTGGGTACTCAACTTCTTCAGTCTGTTCTTGCTCAGTAGTCTGATTGGATTGTGCCACACACGTTAAAGTATCTGTTTGTTCTTGCTGCCAGATTCTGGGAGACTTCCGCCGATTCACTTAGATTAGTATCTTCGTCAAGAATAACATATTCCTCAACTCTGCTCTTAAAGCGATTGCGAGGCCACAATCTGCAAGATTCGAAGCCATGCATGCCTGTGTTCATACAAACGGCTCGAGGATATGCCTCTCCCAAAATTTCCGCGATGTTTGCTTGCTTTATTTAAGGAACCAGAATGGTTTCGCATCCACGATGAGCAAGCAGCACTAAAACTCAGTTTTAGTGATTTGAAAAATAACCTATTTTAGTGGTTGCAACTTATGTGTGGTATGTGCTGGCAGAGAAAGCATGATTATTCCATAGTCCCTTTCAAGATGAATAACATCAATGTTCTTCGTGTGCGTCGAATGACCGTATAAGATGAGAACTTGAATGTTTGCAGTCTCAGACACACAAAATGTTTAAGCCATTCGACAAATAATGTACTCAGAATCCATCCGCTTTCTGAACAACTGTACAATGTATTCGGTGGACCTCCACGCTTTAAGTCATCTGTCATTCTTTTACGTTTAAACATGAGCATGGGTGGCACGAATTCTCCAGCAGCGTTCATAAAGCAGATGCGTGTGGTGTTGATACCACGTTCGCCATTAGTGACAGTTCCAACCTGGTGTTTTTTTTTTTGAGCCAAAATTTTAGAAGGTTTATGAACCGTGCTTAAACCAGTCTCGTCCATGTTATAAATTTTTTCATCTAAGATTGATTCATATTTGTCGAAGAACCCCATTACCGTTTCTTTGTTGAATCCTTTGCAGAGAGCCGTTGATTTTGGTTCTGGAGTGCGTAAGAATATTTCTGTGTGATTCGTCATAAATTTATAATACCATTTCCATCCGGCCAGTTGAGATTCATTATTGAATCTATGTTTCAATCCGTATTTTTCTGTTAACTGATAAGCTAAGTGCCGTAAGTCGGAAAAATCTAGATTCCAACAGCAAAACATATAGCTGGTTTTTAGCTGGAATTCTAAATAAACTAGTATTTTATACATAACAATTTCTTCCGTGTAAAGACTTTCATCTAGGTTACAAAAGTGAAGTCATTTCATATACAAATTCTCTTCCAGACATTGAATTCCATGCCCGTTGTCATTTTTCATTTTCGAACAAACTCACATAGAAGCCGCCGAATGATAAAAAATGAGATAAACATGACGTGTCTGCTCATAAAATATCGTTGAGGGTTTTACCTTGACTTAAATTCCTGTCATCCAGAGCCCCGAATGAGTCTTTAATGAGAATTTCTAACACAGGTTTTCAGCGTAAGGTGATTAAAAACAAACATAATAACATTAAATATGGGGAAAATTCAAGATTTACCGTAGAAAAAATATTCAGTGACTTTGCCATCAGATTATATAAGCAATGTGGATAATTTGGGCCTCAGATATTACAAAATAAAGCATCATCATAACTTACTTTGTTTATACAGTAAAACCTGTGTAAATCGGTACCGAATGTTTCTTTCTGTTTAGGCAGATTTCCGTTTTAAACAGGTTTCACTGTATTTAATACATAAATGATTTTATTTTTGGTACGTCACTAATTTATTTTTTGAGTTCAAAAACATCTCACTTTGGTATGAAGAAGGTTATTGGAGTGAGATTACATCTCTTCACATAAGTTTTGCAAGTATTCGCGATTTTAATGGTTTAGCTTTGATATAATTAACCATTTTAATGATTTCTTCTAATACATTTTTTAGGCTTCCAGACCTATTGTCTTTGCTTCTTCTAATATACTTTCCAGGCCTATTGTCTTTGCTACCAATGATTTACAATGTTTCCATTTTGCTTTTTAGCGTACGAAACAAACCCTGTTATAGTTCCAATCACAGAAGGGGCCTCATCTATACATATACATACATATACCCACGCAAGATTTCCAAGATAGACCATTTCTATTAAAATATGTGTTCATCATATCAAAAACATATTTTCCCGTCGTAGTTTATTCGAATTCCTAGCAGCATAAAAGTTCTTCCATAATTTTATCATCTTCAATATATCGAATGAAAACAAGTAATTGTGCTTTACCACCGATATCAGTTGACTCATCCAATTGCAAACTAAATAATTTCGATTCGATTGTTTTACTTATAACTAATTTTTTAATATCAACTGATCGATCTATTCACGGTGTCGTTTGACAAAGGAATCTTCATTATTTCTTCTGCTTCGGCACCAAAAATTGTTCTCATAATTGCTGTATGAGGCTTCGTTTCTGTTTCTGTTGTTTCAATAGTGATTGTTTGCTGCTTAACGTTAAAAATACTCAAATCTTAACTAATAGAGCCACCAGTTTCTGATGATTTACTAGTGCTAATTGGTTCGTTAGCTTTGCTAGTGAAGTTTTTAATGCTCAAGAAGTGGCTACTTGAAGTCACTTATTGATCATTAGAATCTTCACCTTTTTTTAATGAAAAAATTATTCATGTCAAAAGACACATGATTTTTGTATAATACTCGCCGCACTGAACAGAAGAACAAATGAAGATTTATTTTTATTCCATCAAATGGAGCCTAATTTAAAATTTCGTGACATCCAGTTTTAGAACCACTGACTTTGATCGAGGGCTGGCCTTGTGTGGTTCTAAGCTGTAACATTACAGGGCCTTCTCCTCTATCAAATAAAGTTACGTGTAAAAATAGAAGGCCTAAATTATAGAGGCGAGGATCTAAGCTTAGGCCGTTTACAGATCTGGTTCGGGTTAGAGATATGTCAATAGTATGATGAATGTTTCGTTAATTAATATTGACCCATCGATCGACTTATCACATCGATACACTAGCAATATTGATACTTACACACGAAATACAGCTGAATATGTAATTGTAATCAGTTAAAATTTAATTAACATGTAAGAGTCGGGAAGTTCAGAGAGGGTCATTCTGAAGATTTACAAGGTGAAGAAAAGATTAGAAAATTAATAGAAAAATAATATTTTTCTAAGTCAACGAATTTTACAAAAAAACGGATGAAACTTTCGATTTTGAAAGGAAGTTGATTTCCTTTCCCAGGCCGACTCATGATGAGTCGCATGAGTTTTTTCACACGTTACTGGAGAGCAAATAAAAGGGACATTTTCTCGCCACTCGAGGCGGTCCGTTGGAAAAAGGTTGCCACACGAAGAAAGTCCGACATACGACAAAGGCAGTCCGTCGAAGGGAGGTATTGTCACACGAAGAGAACTAGCCATAAGACAAAGGCAGTCCGTCGAAAAGAGGTTTGCCATACGAAATAAGATATCGTCATACAAGGCTGTTATAAGAATCCGTAAGGAAATCATAAAACATTGTACTACATTCGAAGTATACAAGATTGTTAAAAGAGAAGATTTAAAAGAACTGTCCATAGAAAATATAAGAGGAGAAGTAATCAAGAAAAGAAGAATACCCTCATATAGATACAGAGAATATATGAAAAACCTGTGGAAGGTCAGATCGATGTGAACTCTCTCTCACGCGTTAGGTTTAGCATAATATTAGGATAAGATAGTGATTTATGTTTAGGTTTAGATTTATTCTTATGTATAGTTTTATATTCTGATTCATTAAATGTTTGTTTATTATATGAAAAATGGTTTGGTTAATATTGTTTTTAAATTTCCTTCGCTCCTCTTACTCACAAGTTAGGGTTATCGCGTGTTAATCCGCGTGGTATAAATCTGATTAACTGGTGTCAAGGATCCTGATGTGATATGGACCTTACCGTCTAGATCTTTCTTTTTAAAAGTTTCGTTAAAGCCCTCCACACTCGATTTCTTTAAATAGATAAACCACCCTTTTCAGACAAACAGAGGGCTGTTCACAAGAATAGTTGCCGATTAAGTGGTACACGAGTTTTAAGTGGTACACGAGTGGTACACGAGTACTACTCCTTATTCCCGGCTAGCCCCTCACAAACATTTAAAGGTGAGCATCTTGAATACATTCTAAATCAGTAAATTAAAGACTCAAATAATAAATTTATAATATTTTCTTCTAGAAAATTAATTCTTTCGATAAAAAATTTTAATGCCACGTCAACGTTTCATGCTTTTTACGTCTGAAAAAATCTAAATTGACGGATACTCGAGAAGGCAGAGAATTTAGCCCCAGGCATCTGTATAAAGTTTAACTTTGCAGGTGTTGACGTTATATTATATTTTATTTTATGATCTACTTTATACAATATTTAATTCTATATTTTAATGTATTGTACATTAATGGAAACTATGGAAACAAGATATTATATTGATTAAACACGTTAAAATTTGAATATATTTTTTAAGCCTTCCCAAAATTACAGGTTGGGTGATTGTTATCTTTGACCTTAAGTGAAGGGCAGTATCGGATTTACTCGTATGTACAGTATGTGATAAACAGGCAGAATTTTAAAATTATCTAAAAAAAATATATAATTAAACAATTAAATTTAACGATTTTGTTAGCTGTTTATTTAATAATAAATCATAGATTAGAGTTTCGTTACAAAAGTCCATTTGTCATTTTCATATCTGACCCCTTGACGGTGTAAAAGCGTTATCTCGAAGGTGCGAGATAACGCTTTAAATTCCAATAAAAACAATATAAAGCAAAATATCTTTGCAGGATCCAGTTTAAATTTTGTCCTTCATTTTAACTTTCGACTTTCTGAGCTGTATTTTTATTTCTTTTAGTACGTAATTTTAATTTTAATTGAATAATATAACAATAATTAAATACCATCAGAAATATAAAGCAGGGGTTCTTAATTTCTTTGATCCATGGACCCTTTTTATGTCAGGTGAAAGTCACGGACCCCTTCTCGGAATAATGTTTTTAAATATTAATTTTTACACTTCAAAGTCCACGGATCCCCGAAAATTTTCTACAGGCCTTTGGGGGTACGTGTACTCTAATTAAGAACCACTGATATAAATAGTTTCTAGGAGGTAAGCAACAGGACAATACGATCTACACTAGAAGTGTTTCTCATCAATTAAACCATGAGAGCTGTAAAGTCAATTCGAGACGTTTAAAACTATATTTTTAATAACCTATCTTGTGCTTCAATTAAGTTCATATAAATTTTAATCTAACGTCTTCGAAACAAATCGCATTGAAAATCTAATAATATTCCTACATATTTCCGCATTGATAACATAAAAAATATAATATATTATGTGTAAGGTATTAATTAGTAATTGCTCTGTTAAAATGATGGATTCAAGTGCATTGAATGTGCAAGGCTTGAGCTCTCATCGTGAGAAAGTCAGGTTTAATCGAGAAAGTATTATCAGTTCACCATTCTCTCCAACAAAGATAAGAAAAAGAATGATGACAATTTCTTAGAGTATGAAGAAAAAGTAGAAAGAAAATTGAATTTTGTTTCCATACAGTAATATGATAAGATATTAATCTTTAGAAAAATGTGGTTTATCTGTAGAACAACGTGGTTACTCCTAGAACAACGTGGTTACCCCTAAAACATTGTGTACCCCTAGAACGTGTTTATTTCTCAGAACAGCGTGGTTACCCCCTAGAACAGTTTATTTACCTCCTAGAACATTGTGTTTATTCCTTAGAACAATGTGGTTATAACTATAGAACAGCTAGATTACCCCAAGAACAGTATGATTGCGAAATAGTCAAAATCTTATACACAGGACTATAATTAAGTAATAATATACACAAATTATACTGTATATATAATTTACTAATAATAATATGCAAATTATATAGTAAAATATACGAAAATTATACCAGTTTTATGTATATTACGACAGGTAATAATAAACTACAAATTACTAAATAAAAATCTTATTACTTTTAGGCTATTTTAAATAATTAATACAAATTAATTATTTAAAATTGCCGAATTATAACCCGATCATTTAGGCGATCTTAAGAGTTATTTTAAAACCTAGTCTTAAGCGCATTTTCAGTTAATATTATTACAGATTTAATCGTTACCTACAGACATACAAACAAACGCAAATAATACTTAAAACCTACGAAAGTGTATTGGTGATTTCTTAATGTATAGGCCTGCCATAGCTTACGAATTTTTAGCATAAAAGAATGAAGACTACATTGAAATAAAAGATGAAAGGATGAAAGAATAAAAACTATAGAAATGAGGAATAAAAACTAAATTTTAAAAAAGAAATATAATTTTTCTCTCTTATAAATTGATTATCCTAACTTTTTTTTTTACCTTATATCCTTGCAATTTCTCGATATCCTTCGTTTAAAATCACAGTTAACTGCAAAGACAATTGAAAATGAGATGAGAATATCCAAGAAAATTTCGCACGAATTATCCGAGAATTAAATTTCGAGAAGAGCTCCTTCAAACGACGACTACCGGACACAAGGAAGGCCTCACGTGACTTTGACTAGCAACTTCCGCTGAAAGGCCTCACGTAACACAATCTGTGCAGCAACAATCTCAGAAGTTCATGAAACATAAATTGGCATATGATATATTGCAATTTGGAAAATTGGAGAGGAGTTCGTTAGTATTTAATAATGGAAAAGGGATGCATTCTTAATATATAAATAATAAACAAAATATACCTTCGTTTTCATTCGTTATATAGTCGAAATGTTAGCTTTATATCAATTACTTGTCCTCGATTTATGCAAATATGTAGTGAAATTCATAAATTAATCATTAGCAAATACAGTTAAATTTCAAGATGGACGTTTTGCACTTCTATTTATAGTAATTTGGAAAGGAAAATGGGATAATTTGGCAGTATTATTACAGAATAAAGTTATTAAATATATGTACAAATCACATTCTTAAAATATAATCGAATACATCAGATAGAACTTAAAAATTGGCTCATATATCTTTATTAAATAAACTACATATAGTAAATTATTAAATACAAATTAATGATGATAAATCATATCAAATAAATGCTTACAAATGTAAATATTTATTTATTTAAACTGAGTTATCGTCATCATTGAAATAAATAAATAAACAAGTGTTATATTTTACAAAAGGATGATGAGAGAAGATAGACAAATATTAGGCATTTGACACGTGTTAATTATTGTTTCCTATAGCAAATATTAATAATTAGAAAAAAAATTAAGAGAGGAAGATATGTTCTTGAATCATACTTAAGGTAAAGGACATTTTAGAGAACACTTAAATGTTTTTACTTGTACTGATAGCAATTAACAAAGATTTAATGGCAGAATAATTGTGTTATATGTAAATAGACTTGTTTCGATTTATTTTGACGGTGTCAACATATTTTTTGTAACTTAATTTCAATATAATTTTACTCATTTATTATCTTTGAATCAAATTTGTAGCTACCGTGAGTTAATTTTTTAATTGAATCACTTTAATAGAAGAGCTCGTTAACTAGTTTAACTAGGAAAATTTGAATTGAAACTCGTTTGAAGGAGAATTAATTTCAGTATGAAGGAACCTGATTAAATAATGTCCTCGCTTCATTATTGGTTCGATTTTAATAAATTGATAAATAATTTATTAAAAAAAGAAAGGCAATAATAGATTAAAATGAAAAAAATTTGATGAGGTCAGACACTCCATTCTTAGTAATATTAAACAGTATTAGCAAAGGAATAACATTATTAGTAGCATAGCAGCAGCAGTAGTAATAGTAACAGTAAGAGCAGCAGCAGCAGCAGCAGTAGTAGTAGAGTTCTAGGGCCCGGGAAGCATTCTGCGCCCTGCCTTTGGTCGAGGCCTATAGTCCGCATGCTCAGGCTTAGCTTGGCCTTCGGGCTAAGCCATTATGGTCATTATGGCCATTATGGCATTAGGTGAGTGGTGCCGTGTGGCTGCTGCCATCACGGCACCACTCACCTAGTGCTAGGGGGGCCGTTTACTGATGTCGGCTTTCTGGTCATAGAATATACCAGCGTGGTGGCAGCACAAACGTAAGATCGGGTTGACTTATCGGCCCAGTGGAGGGTTCCTCAAGCTTTAACACAGCAGCAGTAGTAATAAAAGCAGCAGCAGTAGAAATAATAAAAGCAGCAGCAGTAGAAATAATAAAAGCAGCAGCAGTAGTAATAATAAAAGCAGCAGCAGCAGTAGTAATAATAAAAGCAGCAGCAGTAGTACTAATAAAAGCAATAACAGCAGCAGTAGTAATACTAATATGTCCCAAACAAATGCTTTTATTTTTGGATCTCTAAAACTTTTATGAAACTTTTTCATTTACTCCGAAGTTTCCAGCAAAGATTTATTTCTCTAATTAAAAAAATACGAGTAAAGTCACTGACAAATATTAGAAGTGATAAAATGCTTCTGAATTTTATTAGTCGAAATAGAATAAAGACAAAGTGGCAAATTACGTTACACAACAATTACTTAAAATGATTTGATTTTTAAGCTACTAACACATGTTATTCATGGCACAATACTTCATTTTCGTTTTACAGTCAAACTTAGCAAAACATGCTAGTTGTGAAATGGAAGTTTGATCTAATATAGAATTATGAGTGGGGATTGCGCCAGTAATTATCTCAGAAAATTTCATTAATTCAGCTTTCATATATTTCCATTAAATCTCGAGAATAGACAGACAACAAACACTAAGTCAGAGAAGTGAACAAATAAACTATTTTTAAACTGCTAAAATCCTTTAAAAAGACAAAAGTAATATATAAACTTAAAAAAGTCAAATCTAGTTAATCAAATGAAATTGAATAAATCAAAAAAGTAGGTATAAAACATTTTAAAATAAATTAATTTCAGTTAATGGTATTGATCATCCGAAAATCATTTAAATACGCTTCGTCTAATGAGAGCTATGAATTAGGTTATACAAGAAAAAATTACCAGAAAAATGAAATTACGAAGCAGAGTTTTCTTTATTCTCATGTTATAAGCCCACACAGTGGACGAATGGTTAAAATCACTGCACTAAGGTCGTGTGTTCGCTCCTGCCAACGAGTTGGCCAGGCGCGACCAACTACCAGTGTTTGGTGGTTTCATCCACTCGGCTACTGGTGGACAACTAGGCATTTTAACAAGCCCATTGGGTTCGGGCAGGCTTACAATGAAGCCTGGTATTGAAAGACGGGTCTCCCCGAATAATTGTTAGAATTTTGGTGACCGACCCGAATTCGATCTCGGGTACACCAGAACGATAAGGTGCTATCGTAACCGTTCGGCCTTCCGGCCTTCCGGCCTTCTTCCACTGTACCCGTCGAATAAGAACAAAATCTCTTTAAATGAAAACTCAACAAGTATTGGTTACTTTTATAAATATCCGTAGCTATTCGTTTGTTTTAAATTGTATCTTAATAAAATCTTGATCAGATTTAGGGGTTACACTTAAAATATCCGTAGCTATTCGTTTGTTTTAAATTGTATCTTAATAAAATCTTGATCAGATTTAGGGGTTACACTTAAAATATCCGTAGCTATTCGTTTGTTTTAAATTGTATCTTAATAAAATCTTGATCAGATTTAGGGGTTACACTTAAAATAATTATGTAAAAATCGAATTAATTTCAAGAAATAATAATTATTGTAAAATGAGTTCGCGCCTCGCTAGGACGGGCTGACACCGTGGAGTTTTCTGGGTCTTCTCCACGTGAATATGGACCAGTTATCCTTAAAAAGACCTCCCGGAAGGCATTTCTCTAGGCAGATCGCCCAAGTATTGCGTTGCTATAACTTAATGAAACCAAACGACCAATCACTACGAAGGATTTCAATCTTCGTGGCCAAGTTGTAGTCTTTACAGGGAGTAGATTGAAAATCTACTCCCTGTAAAGACTACAACTTGGCCCCGAAGATTTGCCAGTCGTATGTATATAGTATTCATTTTTTAGATGGATCATTAATCATTTGTAGAGACTGCAAATGATTAATGATCCATCAAGATCATGTAACAAAATGTTGTGATCTTTGCCTTTAAAAACAAAACGTGTAGCAGAAGTTGCACTGGAACTACTGAAAATATTTTTAGACTTTGGTGCGCCTTATATTTTGCAGAGTGACAACGGAAGAGAGTGCCATTGGGCAACTTCCAGTTATACGGTCTGAATGTAAAATAGTGCACGGAAGAACCCGACATCTACAATACAAGGGGAGTGTAGAGGAGCGATGCAATCATTATGTTGAAAATATCTTACGTGCGTGTATAGATAATACTAGTAGTACAAACTGGATAATGGCTTCCGTTTCGTCAAGTTGCAAAAGAACCCTTCTGAGCATCGAGTTATAGGCAGAAGTCCGTATACAGCACTCTGGTTTAGAACCAAAATTAGGATTAGAGTCAACGAATATTTCACCAGAAATTTTACACTCTTCATAGTGAAGAAAATTTGGTGAACTTAAGGAAAGCAGTTTAGAACGTGAAGTCTTTGAGGAAATAAACGAAAGTCAGAAGGGAAATTTTGAGAAAGAAACTTATTCTGTTTGTGTACGCAATCTGAATGAATCACACGTAATATTATGTTCGTCGTGTGCGATGAGAGTTCATAAGAATTGTGCTCGGAGCATTGGAGGGACCTCCAAAGACCTCAGTTACGTTTATGTTTGCGACACTTGCAAAAGACAAGAAAAAAATTGCAGAGGAATGTTAACAATCACACAAAGCAGCAGAAAAAATGATTGAAATTACTATAAAAACACTAAAACCTATTGAAGTTGGGGACTTTATTTTATTAAACGTTCCAAAGGTTAACCGAGAGCCATTAGACTGCCTAAATGTAAAAATTCTGGAGGTAACAAATAATGTTTATCAAATTGGAACAATAGGTGGCATAATTAAGACCTGGTTCAGTAGAAGTGATTTCCAGATTTCTGGAACTCAAATTCTTGAAGCAATCCCAGAAAAATATGTATATCTATGAGAAAGAATTAAAGTTTGGGGGACAAAGATTTGCCAGTCGTATGTATATAGTATTCATTTTTTTATCATTATTATGTTGTATTATGTTAATTATTTAAGATTACTTTACAATAATAATCTTTCTTACACATCTGTCCGCTGTTTGTCTAATAAGCCTTCCGTTTATTCGGCGTATTACAATAAGTCTAGAATCGTTCAGGCTAATTGAACAAACTGAAGTTTCACTTTCTTAATAGCATGGGCTGATTGCAAAACACCTAAGAAACGTCAGGCTGAATAGTAAATAGATGATTTTTCAATTTGCCAGACTTATTGTAAAATGACTGCGCTCTTTTAAATGAGCCTGATTTTCCAATTCGCCTACAACAATAATATTTATTGTTATATTTTTGTAGGACGGCGGTTAAACCTTTATCCGGAATTTCCGTAATGGCTACGAAAGCATGTTTTACACGGCCCCAATTTATGATTTTTT